CCCCGCCTCTCGCCTCGCCTCGCCTCTGCGCTCCGAGCGCCCCGCCGTCCCGCTAGCGGGCGCGGCGAGGGGCGAGGGGCGCGGGAGGGCCGGCCCACCGGAGGGCGGCGCCGGCGGAGGCAGCGTCAGAGCCGCGAGGGGCGAGGGGCGATCCGCGGCCGGCGGGCGGACAGGCGGGCGAGCGAGGGACCGGCGCCACGATGGAGACGGAGCGGCGGCGGCGGCGCCCGTGCGCGGGGCCGGGTTGGAGGGGCGCCTGGAGGCCGGCGGCGCTCCTCGCAGGTGAGCGGGGCCCCGGGGTGGCTCGCGGGCGCGCCTGGCCCGGAGGCAGCCGGGGAGCGGGGCTGGAGCCCGGGGGGCGCCACCCGCCCCGGCGCCCCGGCCCGCTGCCCTTTCCGAGCTGCCCTGCAATGCGCGGCCATCGAGATGGATACACGCCCACGCCCCGAAGGACCGCTTGCTTCCATTTTCGGAGGCCTTCTTGCCGACCTAAAGCGGGTTGTACTTGTTCATGTCATTTCTGCACGGCTCTCTAGGCGGGAAACCACGGTAAAAGCAACATAATAAACATAATACCGATACAGTAAAAGGAACATAATATTCTATGCAAAAATGAAGACATCTTGAAACAGCATTACAAAAGTTGTTATGTTTTAAGTGTTTACATTTAACAAGTTAACTTGCTTTGCTTTGCTTTACTCATAACAATGCAAAAGTTTGCAACATGTGCTTTTTAAAATGTATCCTGTGCTTTCTGGCTCTTTTCTGTGTTTTTTTCCCCAATTATTCCAGGGAAAATGGCTTGCCTGCAGTGTCAGAGTTTAAGATTAGCAAGGCCATTTCTGTTATATTTTCCCCGTACAGAACTGTCGTAATTTTTAATCTCCTGCAGCACATTGAAATTTGAGGCCCTTGATGAATGTGAGGCTTGGACCAAAGAGCCCTTCTGGGCCTGGCTCTTGGAGGGAGGGAGGGAGGGAGGGAGAGAGAAGACACTTTGGGGAAGCTTTGGCAAGAATGATCAGTTTGAGTGGCCTTGAGATTCTCCCCCAGCCTCTCATTCTTTCTCTGTCTCCAAGAAGCCACACTGGATTTTTTTCTCACTTTATTATAAGTTGCTGTTCTTTTACATGCATTGTCAGAATCCCGGAAAGTCCCCGCTGTTGACTCACGATAATGCATTACCGTGCTAGCAGAAATGAACTTGCTGCAAAGCTTTAATTCATCTACCAGCAGTTTTTATACTCTCTCAGTCACCTACACCCGTACAGAGCCATTAAGGACAGAATACCTGTATTACAATAAAGTTCAGTGATCAGCATATGGAGAAAAGATACAGGAATGTCAGTCAACCGTACAGACAATAAGATTACACTATCTCACAAGGCGATTTTTGACGTATCAGTGGAGTAATTTCCAGAGGCGTGGATCCATCTCCGGGTCTACTTAGATATGTGAATTTGGGCTATCGTAAGTTCTTGTATTGTATTCAGGAAGTCTGAGACCCTGAGTAAAGTATAACAAATAGCTACTTCTTGTCAAGGGTAAATTCCAAAAGAGATTAGCTAGCTACAATGTGAATGAATTTGACTGAATGAGGACCTCCAATTCTTTCTGTCTGCTCTTGCCCCATTGCCAGGGGCGGGGGGGATGCCATTTTAAACAGTGACAGCTTGGTTTTGAGAAGGAAGACAGGATTTGATCCCACAAATGTAAAGGCACACAAGGGTAATGCTTTTCATACAGGATTTACCCAAATTTTCCCAACAGCATCAAGTCATGTCCCACCATCCCCCAAAATGACCTGCCTTTGGCAGCCCTGCTCAGCTCCTAGAAATTCAAGGCTGTGGAGTCCAGCCTTCTCATTCTTGGTCTTCCTCTTCCTCCAGCTTCCCTCCCCTCCGTGCTTTGGCCACAGTCTTCTCACACTGTGGGCAAAGCATCACAGCTTCAGGTTTGGCATTTTTGCTTGCAAAGAAAGTTATGGCTTGATTTGATCTAGGACCCGCTTGGTCATCTTTCTGCTGGTCCAGGGTATTCACAAAGCTCTCTTCCAGCGCCATTTTCTTCCTGTCCACCTGCTGTCACCCGCACAGTACAAACCAGAGTTAGTGTGAACGTCACTGCAAAGATCTTCTACCGGTGTTTCCTTCAGCTACCACTGCTGCCCAGTCGCTGTCCTTCAAGGAGTTTTTCTGCCTCCATCAACATCTTCTCCTGACGGGACCATTATGGCTGAAGCGGGTGGATGCATCTTAGTCTGGGGTAGGATCCGTACTGTGGAGAGTATCCCCAGCATCCACGAAATGACCACGGAGCCACAGCCAGTGCAGAAAGGTCCCTGCTGGCTGCAAGGGCAGACAGAAGATGCTCTGATGCTGGAGACCACCTCTGTCTACCCTTGGCCCATGGACCTGGAAAGCCACCCCCTGCTGTGGCCAGCCAGGTGGCATCGCTTGCATTACACCCTTAGAAGATCAGCCGCTGGGCAAATTAGAAACGTTAGTACTCATGGTCAGCACAATATGTTTTATTTACAGAGATGCAGGGGAAATGGATCTTATTCCCCATGAAGGAAACAAAATTTGAGAAAATTGCTATTGTTCTCAGGGAAGTATATCCATGCTTAGGCAGCAAGTCACTGGATGATACTGGGGAGGGGGGAGAGGAAGAGCCTCTAGTTGCTAAAACACCAAATAGAAATACAGAGAGATTCCCTGCAAACCAAGTTAATTAAAGGCAAATTAACTCTCAGGCCATGCCCATGTTAGGGAAGAATATTTATTTATTTATTTATTTATTTATTAAAACATTTTTATGCTGCCCCATTCGCTGAAGCCTCGGGGTGGCTTACAACAATATCCATAGGAATTCTCTGGGTACAATTAATGGGAATAAAACACAATTAGGTACCCAAACCATCACCGAACTGAGCACTTCGATGTATCAGCCAGTCCCACAATTGTAGTCAAATGCTGCTAATGGTTCCTGAAACTCAGAGCTGAGACAGGACATGAGCAAAGATGCTGAGAGCTTCATTTCAATCAAACCACAAGCATCCTGTTTGAGGCAACCTGTTCAAGGCTGGTGTTCACAGAAACAGGCAGGTTAGGAATGAATTGGCGGTTTTCTTTGATGACAGAGTGAATTGAGATAAGCGACAAATTAACGTAAACAGTTTCTAGATTCCAGATAAGTGGAAACATTCTTTAGCATTATTTAGTGGCAGGATATAGGAAGGCTTTCCTGGACTTGATCCCGCAAGCACCTATTCTGGCATCCTTCCACAGATCATACCTGTAAGACTTTTAGCGTAACAAGCCTTATGGTAAAAACTTCCAGGTTGCATTTGTTAGTGTCGTGCCTGACGGCGCGACAGAGGCGTCTACTCATGAGGAAGAGGCAGAAGCTAACAGTCAGGCATTGGAACAAGGGGATTTATACTTGGGGCCCAGTGCCCAGGCAGCCCCTTGCAGCCCGACTCTGAGACTTCTGAGCAAGTAGCCTCCCCACAGCCTGACCCCTTAGCCGCTGAGCGAATAGCCTCCCCACAGACTGATGGTGAGGCGTCTGGAAGAGTAGCTTCCCCCCATCCTAGCTCTGAGATGCCTGAACAAGTTGCCCCCCCCACCCCCCCAGCTCCTGACTCTGAGGCTGCTGGACAGAATCTGGAAAGGTGAGACAGGAAGGTCTTCTGAGAGAGCTCAGAAAGAAGGGAGCAACTGAACTGTTAGGAGCTTGTTGTTAGAGCTTATCAGTTATTCCATATGCCATTTCTACCTTTATCTATGATGATATGATAAATAATATCATCTATGCTATTCAGAACTTTCTGACTTTTTCAGGTTTCCCTTTGTACAGTCCCAACAGAGAACCTTTTGTTGAATGATTGTGCGATTCATTGCAACATACTAAAGAGCAGCGTACTACGTCCTCAGAGCCGTCCCCTGCTCAATACTGGCTGGACCACCGTTGTTCTATGCCCTAAGGTTTGGCTGGTGGAAGTGAATGCCTTTTATTTAGTTATGTATTGGATCCACCATGTTTGTGGCCTGCTTCTTTCCTCCAGCAAAAAACCCAAGACAGCTCACAGAAGCCTCTTCTGTGCTGTATCCTAACAACAACCTTGTGAGACAGGTTAGATTGAGAGGGGGTGACTGGCCCAAAGTCACCCAGGGAGCTTCATGAGGACTAGAGTTTTGTCCCTCAGTCCAAAGCTCCAGCAACACCACCCTGCCCTTTCTTTTTCCAGCCAAGAATTCATGTTTTCTGTACTTGTTATGCTTTACATGAGAATGTGTTTAAAATTCCTGCCACATCACTTTCTATAGTATCACATTTCAACATAATTGGTGATTTGCTCCTTAGCATATTATCATTTCTGATTATTAAAATGATGGTGACACAGAAGAAAGTTTTGGACTGTGGAATAGCCCTATTCTCAGATCTATTTGCCTAAGAGCACAATCCTACGCATGCTGGAAGTTGTAGGTCTTTCTCCCGTCTAAATGTGCGCCATATTGCACTTTAAATAAATCAAACAATAAGGCTTGTAAAATGTGATACCAAGTGCTTCACTGGAGTTTGGAACCAGCCGTGCAAAAATAATATTTCAGGTTAAGTGTTATTTTGAAATTATATATTCCCTTACATGTGGCACTTAGAGTGTACTTCTTGGAAGGTCCAATTAAATTCTGTGCAAAAAATTATCTGGCACTTATAGCAAAGAGCCACAGAAAGGCCGTTGGACAAGATCAAGTGGATTGTTTGCTTTCTAAGTGAGCAGTGGTTGTATCTGCCTGCAGCAACAGCCCTTTGAGCCCCCTGGGATGGGTGGGAGCGAGCATCCCAAAGTCCGAGTTCCGACATCATATTTATCTATGAAGGAGTCAATCAAGAGTCGCAGAGTAGATGGAAAAGAGGAAGATGTGTACACAAAAAGCTCTCATTTTACCACGTTAAAATTCATGTAGAGTACACACAGCTTGCCTATTTTTTCCTGTCCTGAAAAATATGGATGAAGCAATATGAAACAAGGATGACGTGTGAAACAGTGCGGAGTTTACAAGGCAATTTTCAAGAAAAATGCATTTGGCAAGATGTCTCTTCCTATGTGATAGAAGGTGTGGGCAGAGCTCTGAAAGATACTGTGCGGGTCTTTCATATGGAAATTAGAGTTTTCCACTCAGAAATACAGCACCAAAATCAGACACATACAAATCATACAGACAATTTATACAACTTTAAATTTCTATGAATTATGAAAGTACAAGATAAATCTGTTAGATTTCAGACAACCTTCTTGAGAACATAAACACTAAACTGCTGTTTTTAAAATTCATAGAATTTGATTTTGTTGCCACTGGAAGCTCTCATGGGGGAAAATGCTGTATCCTTAGAACAAATTTAAAAATAGCATCTTTGGGATTATGCAAATGTGAAACAATGTTCCATGCACTTGGTTTGGTAATTGGCCCAACTCTTGAGAAAATGTTGCATTGAGATAATACTGTGTTCTGCATCTATTGGTGCATCTATTGAAATGGTCCTTATGGTATAGGAATTTGGGAGGAATAGTCCAACTAAACAGTGTGGTGTAATGGTGAGAATGCCAGATTGGGAACTCGGAGAACCGTGTTCTGGTCTCCGCTCGGCCATGGAGCTTGCTAGGTGGCTCGGCTGGTCACTCTCTCTCAGCCCAACCCTCCTATAGAGTTGTTGTTGTGAGGATAAAATGGAGGTATGTAAGCTGCAAGAGGAGAACAGCAGCACACAAAAATAATGTAAGATGTGAATAAGAATAACGAGCAGCTGTTTCAGAGAAGGCAGTTGCAGCAAAACAGGAAGTTGTGGCTAGGAGTGCAGGGAAGGAGGTGGAGGTGAGGTCTTGTACACACAGGTTGTGTCAAGGTGTCCTCGTGGGCCCTGCTTTGCTGCCGACCCCTGGTCAAGATCGTTTCGTGGAACTGAACCAAGACAACCTGAGGCTGAAGGCCAGACAATGCCAGGTGGTGGTGGAAGAGGCTGGGAACATTTCTAATGCAAAAGTGAAAGTGTTCGAAAAGCTGAACTCTGCTGTGTGACATGACTCGCTTAGTTATTTTAGGGCACAGTCCGGAGGTGGGTGACCGCGGGAAAGGCTGCAGTTCCACTTCCAACCTCAGAAAGCTGTTCAAGGTCGATGCTCAAGCACCAACTTTGGAGAGCCCTCTCTCTCTGCCCTCACAGTTGAATCCCCCCACCCCCCGCAGCTCCTAGCGGTGAGCAGTGGGGCACATTCTGGAAGGCAGGGAGAGGTGGAGTCTTGACATGAGCACATTCTGCAAAAGGAAGAAAAAACTCCTGATAGGACTTTTGGCCGCTCCTCCCCAGCCCACTGGAATGCATTCCTGCAACAGTAGCGCAAGTTTAGCATATAAAAACATGATGATATCAGTGCTTTGAACAATTTGCAATATGCTTGCAGAAATAGCATGAGAATGATGCTTCTGAGAAGCGTGTGACATGCCAATGAATCAAGGATTGCTGTGCCATTAAAAATTCCCCTGGTGCGGATCCCCACCCCTCCAGGTGCCTAAATGATTGATCTTCTGGGCAGAAAAGGATAATTGTTCCATAAGTTTCGATTTCTTGTAAAATTCAGATCTTTCTTACGTGGTAAGAAAGGTTTTTTCCTGGTGCTTGCTGAGGACAAATCTTGACATTTGATTATGTTGCCCCCTGGTGGTCCTTTCTGGAAGGCACACTGGACTGATGGAAGGCATTTGGTTGTTCTAGTATCAACTGTGATACACGTGCGCCCCCATCCCAGGACATGTGGTGAAATATGCATTGTAATCTGTATGGCCGACATGAATTTGTGCTACTTTATGAGAGTGATCTGTTCTATATACATTCTAAATCAGCTTAGAGGAAGTGAATGTCTGAATGTCTAGACCAGTGATGGCAAACCTTTTTGAGACCGAGTGCCCAAACTGCAACCCAAAACCCACTTATTTATGGCAAAGTGCCAACACTGAAATAAAACCTGAAAACAGTCAGTCCAAGCAAATATATACATGCCCCTGGCAGCACACTAAGCGGCCACGCCAAAGCCCGGACGAGTCGCGCCTTGTGACGTCATCGCCTGGCTCCACGACTCCTTTCCGAGCATGCGCATGGCCCCTGTGTGCACTGTTGTCCGATGCTCGGCTGCGTGGGCGATGCCGGGGCGACTTGGCTCGCATGCCAGCAGGGAGGGCTCTGCATGCCCGCTGTGGCGCGCATGCCAGAGGTTCACCACCACTGGTCTAGACAAACAATTTTCTAACTAAAAGCTTTATGATGTTAAAACTGACTAACTAAGTTGGCTTTGCAGTACAAAAGAAAAGCTTGGCTGAAGTCAACAAGGAAAGATACAAGCAGAGTCCGAATACTGCCCTTTAGGGAAATACCGCTTAAGGATACAGAGTGAATTGCAAAACAAATTCCCCTTCTCCCTTTCGAACCAAAAAGAGTTGACTCCTGCTTCAAGGTGGATCCTGCTGCTTTTGGGCCAACTGCTCATGGGATGCTTCACAAACGGCCCACCTTCTTAACCTGACACCACATGACTGGACCGACGCTCCTCAGCCAGTTCCCACAACTCTCCGCTTGCTCACTGGCATTTCCCACCCATCTTGAAACTGCCTGGTGTATCCTTGGGTCCTTGGAATTCCAGCGGTGAATTCCAGCCTGCCTCTTCCTCTCCCACTGCTGATTTAGAATCTGAGACAAGCACTGCTGAAGGCTGTGTGATGACAGAGGGGGCCCTGGTCCCCACATCAGAAAGCATCTTAAGTCAGACGGGGACAGCCCTTCGGCTGGAGCCTCCAGAGTAGCTGTCAGCCTGCTTGCTTTGGGGAGAGGCCTTCTGCCGTTCGGGTGCAAGAGTTGTGACTGGACCTGAGGTCCCCCTGCAGCCACGCTGTGTCCATGTTTGCTTGGAATAAAGGATGTGAGTCTCTGTTAGGCAGGATGCTAAATATACAGAGAGTTTAACACGCTTGGAAGAATAGGAAGGCTCCTAAACGCGGCTTCCTGAGCTTTGCCGCGGTGCCTCCTGACTGGGCATTTAGAAGATCTTAACAAGGATTGTGATGCTGAGAAGAATGAGAACTTTCAGGAAATGCTGAGCCCTATTTCTGTCAGGTTGCTAATTATCCTAATTGTGTGATGTGTGGCACAGGTCCTGCTGGTCTCATCTCTGCAAATGCGTCTTGTTCCCTTACCATATGAACTCAAGGATCACAGGAGAGCAGAGAGTAAGAGAAGCACAGGAGCCAGGGCCAATTCAGGGCACGTTCCCGCAGCTTCCAGGCATTGTCTTCAGGGGCCGGAGGAGTATTTGAGGGCCCAGCTCAGAGGTCCTGTGACATCAGCCCTGGGACTCCAGACCCAGGGTTTCTGCCTCGCCTCCAGCACAGAAGAAGCCATGACACTGCCTCTCCGAGGCCGGAATTCCTCCTCGGGGAGGGCTCTCGGGGCAGGCCAGGAGACGCAGGGGCTGGGCTGGCAGCTGGTGTTATACCCAAGTGGCCCCACAGCCTCCTTCCCTCGCCCCCTGCAGCCTCATTTCAGTAGCGATGAGATGAGATGAGGGGCGCGAGGTGCTGAGCTTCACACCTCATGTCCTGCCTTGGGTGGCTCAGAAGGGCAGAGGATGGATGGTGCCCTCCGTTTTTGTAATGAAATGTGCTTATTTAACCATCTCTTTATTATCGTTCTTGATCATCTGCACCATCGTCATCACAATCCGCAAGCCTGTCATTGCTGCACTGGCTGCGTTATTTTAAGAAAAGTGAAATTCCTCTATAGTGAGGTATTTTCTGCCACTGTCGCATCTGCAGAAAGTAATCTGTGGTGGGAAAAGCCCAGTTCTTGCTGCCCGGAGGGGCCTTTTGTGAAGATTTCATTCTTCTTTTCCCTTTTGCAGCCTCCATCCTCAGTTCCTGCTTCCTGCTGACTCGAGCCCAGGATGGGAGACCACAAGTGATCCCTATCACATGGTCACCCCAATATCCAACAGCAGGAGAGAACGTGACCCTGACACCAGGAGGAACCTTGGAAAAGGTTGTCAGCTGCAGCTGGTTCCGAGGGACAGTAACTGATGTGGCAAAGCGGATCCTTGTCTATTACGTACCTCCACTTACTCAAGGGCAAGTTAATGGACCTTCCTACACTGGGCGAGAGACAGTAGACCTAGAGTGCTCCCTTCACATCCAGAATTTAACATTGACTGACTCCGGAAACTATACCGTGTCAAAAGAAGGAGGTGTGACTGCAATTGGGCATGTGATGATAAAGGTCTCAGGTATGTTTCATTCATTCTTCAGCCATTCTGGTCTCTGGGTCCCTTCTGCAGTCAGCTTAGAGCCCTCTCAGTTCGAACTGAATGATCGAAGCAGTTGTCAGATTTGGTTTCAGTCAGCTTGTCATTTTTCCAAATTTAAGTTAGTTTCATTCTGTTTCCACATGAGTTTGCATTTGCTTTTAAAATTCTGTCTGGAAATATTTGCCTGTTCTTGTTTGCTTTGCTCCAAATGGGTTCATGCAGCCTTTTGTCTCAGAGCTGCCGGTCTGGCACCAAGTCAAGAGAGACAATGCACAAAGGCATCACGTATTGTTTGGATTATCCAATCGTTTCAGGGTGCTTCTGCTGCCAGGCTGCACGTACACGGGGGGGGGGGGGGGGAGGAGGAAAAGAAGCCCATCTAGGGGAGCGGAGAACAGAAAAGCTTCGTGGCAAAGCGCCCACCATGTCTTGGCCTCCCTCCAGAGCAACATGCCCCCAGCCACTGCCCTGTTTCCACCAGCAAGTTCCACGTGAGCTTGCCAGTCTGCCCTTTCCTTCCTTCCAGGCACGTCCCTCCCATGGATTGCAGTAGGGCCAGCCTGTGGAGACGAGCAAGACGATTTTCTGACCAATTTGCACGCAAGTGTCCAACTACTCAACCCTCGGTCCCTCCAACCCCCTTCTCAGAGAGCTAGACCGCTTTCAGCACGATGGAAGCCAGTTCGCATCCTTCCCCTTTTTGCACAGATTGCTAAGCGCTGAACCGGCTCGATCGACTGGCCATTCCACAAGGAGGGGAGGATGCTGGGCGGCCCCTGGCCCTGGGCAGAACTGCACCAGTCGTCATGGGAAGTGCCACACTGCAGCCAGGCAGCCCCTTTCCTTGATGGCGTAGGTCAGAAGGCCACCTCCCAGCCCCCTTGGCGAATGGCAAGCTGCTGCTCAGACTTGCTTTCTCCGCACTCCCTCCTATTGCTTTCTTTTTCTTTATAAGATTTATGTGACTGCCGGACAGTTATGGCAGAACCAAAAACAACAAGGAAGACAGAAGCATCGATTACTTGCATAACGTCTGGTGATTCCCATTGCGATGAATACATGTGGGATTCATATGCCTACGTGCTGTATGGCTGAGGCATGTGCAGGGTGGAGCATCATAACCAGGGCAGAGGTGGCATGGAGCTGCCTTCCCCAACCTGGTGCCCTTCAGGTATGCTGAATGACGACTCCCAGAATGCCCAAGCAGCACACCTGTGCGCAAAAATGCTGTTTCCGGGACATTATCCATGGCGGATCATGTAAGGGAAATGAAAATCAAGGCAGGAGGAGAGACGAGTCGCGATCTCTCCCTCACACACTGTGGCAGAACCACACGCTTTTGACCCTGTTCTGCCCCCCACTCGCTCTCTGCCTGGCAATCTTTTCCTGGTGGCAGAGGAAGCATCTTGGGGGGCAGGGGGTCCCTTCAGGTTTGCACAGCACTATTCCGGGGCATGGAGAAGGGGGTGCACGTGGCAAAGCCAGTCCTCTCCCCCCCGCCCCCCAGGTCTTTCATGTCTGACGTGCTGTGCCATCTGACTTGTCACCCGGGTGAATCTGGCCCAGGGATGATGTCATGGTTGCACAGAGTATGGGACAGAGACTGGGTTCACATGAAGCAACCAGGCTCCGAAGACTGTCCCCCACAGTGGGCTGCCATGTCCTGCAATGCCATCCAAATGTCTGCAGGGTGTTTGGGAGCAACAAGCCATGCTGACAATCCATGGCTTGTTGTGGGCGTTGTCATGCCCCCAGTGGGTTGTCCTGTTGCTCGAATGCAGGTCACTGGGCCCATCGTGGACACCAGGAAGCAGCGGATGGGCAGGTGGGCTGAACCTCTTACTGCCCCTGCCAGGTATCCAGCAGTGCCCAGGTGCACCTGGGGACAGCCGACCCTGGCTTGCTGCCCTCCCTGCTGAATTCCAACACGGTTCTCAGCTCACTGTGGTGTTTGTCCCTTTAACTGTTGTGGGGACTGTGCTGTTTTGTGTTGTTCTGAGATAGCAAAGTCTGTGGCTTCTTGGCATCATGAGCTGTCAGTGTGTTGAGCCGTGGTCCAGAGAAGGTGGGTTTGTTACACGGTTAGGTAAGCTTCCTTCATTACTTGACAGGTTGTACACTCTGTTATGCCTATTTCAAACACACTGCCTTAGTCCAGATCTTCTCTCTTGCTTCTGGAGCAGGTTCGGTATGTTCACACAGACTCTTCTGTCACTTCCAGGGAGACCAGCTGCTTGAGGTTACAACCAGAGAGAGCTAAAGACCATGTCCTTTTAAATCTGTGCATTGAAAAATAGATACTTCCCAAAGGAAGACAAGCTAGATTTTTGGCACCTTGCTCAGCACATCATGGCATATGCTTCCCTATTTCAGATCGCCCAGGGGGAATAAGCAACATCATTCTCTGGAGCATTATTGGGTCCCTGGTTGGAGTACTGATTTTGATTGCAATCCTGCTTTTCATCTTTCTCCGTGAGTAAAAGGCATTGGAACTGAATCGCTTTGGATTTCTGGGTTCTGCTACCAGCTATACAGCAGAAATGGTGGGTCAAAATTTGAACACAAGGGCAGCATCAGAAGTGGGCATGGCTGGGTGCCTCTTGGGAGCCCACGGTCTCTGGGCATCATGGCTCCTCTTCCACACTGCAGAGTGCTTGTTCGCCTGCCTTTTGCTCTAGCCCAGGCAATGAAGGGGTTGAGGAGGAGGAGGAGGAGGAGGAGGAGGAGGAGGAGGAGGAGGTGCCATGCCCAGAATGCTCAGTGGCAGGAGCAGCCAGTGGCAATGGCAATGACTTGAGCCCTGAACCAAGGGAGAGATCCCTTGAGGGTGTCTTGTCCAGAGACCTGCAAAACCCAGGGAAGGGTGAGAAGCTGGGAGTCTTCATTCTCTAAGGACAATAAGGAAGAGGTTGTGTCTGAGTCAGTGAGCTGTTTCAAACTGCAGAGTCAATGTTGCAGGCCTTGGGCTATGCAGATAAAATGCACATTTGAAGCAAAAGTATGCTGTGCCATTGTATGTTAAGATTTAACTCCCTGTCTTCTGCTTCACTCAGGTTCCCACCATTAAGGCAATGAACCTTCTGCAGACGGTTGAGCTGGCCTGAGAAAGGTATTGCTCTAATATGGATTTTGGAATTCTTCTCACTGGGGATGCCTAAGAGGATTTTAAGGGTGCTCAGTATCTCCTAGAAGCTGATGCACCATGACTAGGGGAGAAGTCAGGATGCACCGGGGGGGGGGGGGGGCGAGCAGAGGGCAAGGTTAGGGTGGATCATCTTCATTCCTTCCCCTCCTTTTCCGGCCCTGTTCAGGTTTTTTTGCATTGCAAACTCACTCCTTTGACTCAATCAGCAGAGGATTCTAATTAATTTAAGGTGAAGCCAGGAGAGGAGCCGATATGCGATATGCGGTTTGAAGCATGGTTCCTTTGCACAAAACCTGCTTTATGCGAGGCTTTTGCTCCAGGAAAACTGCAATGCTTTTCTGTATTGCAGCAGAGTAAGATCTGCTCCTGGCCTGAATACCCTCTTGTCTTGACTACAGACAATAAACAGATCTGTATCCAGGTCCAGAATCTTGGTACTGAGGATCCAATTCCATAATCCAAGCCTCACCTGGAAGCATTACAGGACACTAGGGTGGGACATCCAGATTCCATATAACAATAACCCTGCAGTTCAAACATTCATATTTATTTGCTACACTTCCAAAATGTTTGCTGCTTTCAACAGTAAGAAATATAGAATTCTCAGTCTATGAAAACAAAAACCCAGAAAGGGTGCGATCCGGGACTTTCGACCTGACACTTCTCCATTTATCTCTTCAGACTCTGCAGCCTGGAAGCTAAACCACATCTGATGAATGGATGAAGTAGCAGGTGAAGCTACCCAATTAGTGACTCTCCTGCTGATCCCAGGCCGTGACAGCTTTGTACCAAATTAACAGTAAACCAGGGATCAACTGTCAATTCTGAATCAGTTCATAACTCCTTTTTGGACGTTTAATGGGAAGTGTCTCAACATCCTGTTGCTACAAAAATATGTGCCAGGGAAGGATTTTAAGCCGTTTTAAGCCATTGGTTTATGCAGCTGAAGTAACCAAGAATTTCACTGGTTCAGTGAAGAGTCCTGAAAGATCTTTGAAGATTGCTGATTTTGCTGTGGCTGGTGAACATGGCAGCCCTTCTGAAGACGGCTGCATCACATGGCTTCAGAGAAGAGCATCTCCTGGAAAAGCTGGAGGCCTGCAATCCCGGAGAAGGACAACACAGGGTCACAATTAGCAATTTCCTGAAAAGTTCTTATGAAGCCCAGACACCAATAGAGGGCGGTATAATCCCACATATATTGTTTTAACAGTTGTACAACCAGCTTATTCCTAACAGCAACACATGTTCTGCCTTAAAGTGTACCTCCAACTCTCTTTCAAATACTTATTTTATGGCCTGTTTTATGAGCTTTGCAAGGTGTATGGTTTGAACTTGCCAAAATCTGAATAAAGGTAATAATGCCAAGTCTATAGTTGTGTGTTACTCACAAAGCATCTGAAATGGCTAGTGCTTGTGAACATATCAAAAAGAAATCGGCCAGGGCTTCACGATAACCCTGTGAGGAAGGGAGGCTGAGAGTTGGGTTCATGTGACAATTAAACCCCCTGGGAAAGCTAGCCAGGCTCCTAAAATTCCCCTGTGCCTGATAGTGGGATATACATCCAATAAATTAATAGATGCATTGGAGAGCACTGTTCCTTGGCCAGTGCTGAAGTCAGATGCAGCTTCCAGACTTTGCTACATAGAAAGGGAAGGGTGACATCTTGGCTTAAGCAGCAAAACCTCCTGGGCAGCACTGGGCATTGCATTCCCGCTGGCTCGGAGCCCGTCTTTGTGGGGCTGGTTGTTGCAAAAGCGCCTTGGAATCCCTGCTAGTTCAGGGTCTGGGAGTTTGTGGGTGCTGGCAGTGGCCAGCAAGCTACCTGAACTATTGGTAGCCCGCAGCATTCTATAACTGAAAGCCTTTATCAACGCACCCTCTGGCTTTCCAGTGGCTTTGTCCTTGGGGAGGCCACCCTCCACTTCTGCGGCTGCCCCACCAATTAAATTATTCAAGACGGCACAAAGCACAACCTGGGAAAATGTTATCCTGCTCTTTGAATTTCTCGTGCATGCAGGATAATTCCCTCGTCGGTTGTTTTGTGCTAATTAGCGAGGCACGGACAATGCCTGGGATTAGAGGCTGCTGGTACCAAAATGTTTTGTTCTCTCTCCATCACCTCTTTCCTCCGTGAAGCTGCCTTACTCGCCGCCCCTAGCCCAGGTCCTCCCATCCTGAGATCTTTGGAATTGTACTACAACTCCCAAGGCTGGCTAGGCATGCTGGGAGCTGGGCTCCAACACATCCGGAGGTTGCCAGGTTGGGAAGACTTCTCCGGAGTGTGTCAGTGCCGGCACGGGGCTGTCTTTGGGATTGTCCATCTCCGGCAGCAAATGTTGCAATGTATGATTCATTTTCCTTTTATTAATAGCAACACTTGCACAATGCTTCAAGTGAGAAAACCTCCCGGGGGCAGAGCTCATCTCTCTCACACACACACCACCTCTTCCCACCCAGCCCTCCTCTTCCCTGCTTTCCCTTACACCCCGTGGTGAGACTGATGAAGCTGCTGGACTGAGACGAGCCATCCAGGTTCCATTCCCCACCCAGCCCCTTGGCTGACTTTGGGCCAGGCATAGACTCAGCCTAGCCTTCCTCACAGGGTTGTTGTTATGAGGAAAAAACGGAGGGCAACTGCATAAGCCGCCTTGGGTCCTTCCAAGAAGAAACACAGAAACTGAGCGAGTCAGAAGGCGCCTCCCGGGCCATCTAGTCTGACCTCCGGCACCAGCCGGCTCCGCTCACGACATGCCCACCTTGTGCACGTCCAGCCTTACAGAAACGTAGAAGTTGGGATACATAAGGAATAATTAATAACATGCCACAAGGCAACATCGCAGGTGCAAATTGGTGCCCGGGCAGTCCCTCCGGGGTCTCAAGAAGGGATGTTCCCAGCGGATTGCGCCCCCAGGGCGACTCAGACGCAACTCCCAGTGACAGCCGCGGGGCTTCCCCGTGTAGGTGAGCGGACGGGGGCACCCTAAGCTCGCCCGAGAGCCGCGACGCGCGTTTTCCAGCTCGGCTTGGCTCGTCGCCACTTCCCTATGCAATCTGGCCTGCCTCGGCCCCGTGTCCCCCCGATGGCTCCGACCTCGGCTCCCGCCAGCCCCGGCCGGCATGCCCAGTGGTGGGGAGCGCGGCAAGAGGCGGGCCAACACATCTGGACGGCGCCGCGTCGGCGAAGTCTGCGCTCCCTCCCATCGC